TAAGTAAAGTTTTTGCAACCAATAAGCTGTGTCTGCCTCTCCATTCACCAGCCCGCCCAAACGACCGAGTGATATTTGAATCGTCTCGAGTTGGCTCCGGCCGTCCGAGACAGTGATTATGTTATCAACTTTACCACTCAGACAACTTATAACAGGTATGTATATATGCTTAGTCAGCCAGGTCTCCACAAAATCCCTCTGCCTGGAGCAAATTAGCCCACTGTGCAGTGGCTGCAGCAGAGCCCCGGGGAGCGGTGCTCGCTCTGCCTCACAAGAGGGGTGGTGATGCCGTCATCTGGACAGAAGCGGGGGTGCCTATCAGGAGTGTGGCTGCTCTGGAGGCCAGAGATTATTCCCTTGTCCAGTCTTTCCTGGGCACTTGCAATCACTCACACAGATCCCCAGACACTTCCCAAGGCAGCTGTCCTGTGGTTGACACCTGGAACACCCCTCTCAGCTGTAGGTTATTGAGCTCTCTGCTGGAGCTCCCACACAGCTGCTTTCTGCAGCTCTCCCAGAAAACATCCTCTAGCAACCTCTCTCCCTCCTTCCCTCCAGGGACTCCCTGCGCTGAGGGATCTTGAAGTGGGGAGGGGAACCCATTTGCACAACCCCTGCTCCTTCAGTAAAGGCAATCCTGGGTACTCAGTAGCTGGTGGCTCCTCTGCCCACAGTAGCAACCCTTCTCCGCACACCTTCAGCTCCCCTCTTCCCAGCTGCTTTCCCCTTTTATTTCCTGGGCTTCCTGCCCTAGATTTCCAGCTGTCGTATCTTGTGCAACAGAATTCATTAAAGGCCTGTTATCTTCTCTGTAAATAGTCATTTTATTATTTGTCAAACACACGCACACACCCTGTGCTACAGTTATTAATTCCAATGTTAATCCAAGAGCCAGGAAGTGAAATCATTCTTAATCTAAAAAGCCCTTATGTGTCTCTCTCTTTCACTTCAATGGTTAGGTCTCCAATTTAAATCCTGATCTTTCGCTCTTGCCTGTGTGCCAGCAGCAGCCAGCTAGAAATATGTTCCAGCTGTTGCAGAGTTGGGGGGGATGGAAATTAAAACTGTCACACTTGGAAAAAATAAGGCAAATGACTGCTGGAGATCCAAATCTACTAGGGATATTTATTGACAAACCAAATCAGCCTTCCCAAAACCCACAAACACCCCCCTCTTGCCTACTTCCCACATGCTGCAAACTGTTCACAATCTTTCCCGACAACCTGCATAATCTCAATACAAGTTTATCTAACGTGCACACAATCCCAAAGGAAATCTCGTATGTGCGCACCTCAGACGGATACAGACACCTATTTAGAGGTGTATGGGC